TTAGGGAGTTGAGGGTTTAGGGAGTTTAGGGTTTAGGGGCCTTGCGGGTTCCCCCCCAAGGGTCCATGTACCAAATAGTACACACATTGGCCTTAAAGTAGTCCCTCTATGGGTGCTTTGTAATATTTGGGTACATGGACATTTAGGGCTCCTTCCCTAAACCCTAAACCCTTATGAAGGGTACCTTTTAAGAGGGCTCCTTTAAACGGCTTTTGTTTGGGTCGCTTTAAAAGGTCCCTTTAAGGGCTCATGGGTTTGGGGTTTAGGAGTTTAAGGGTTTTGGGTTAGGGTTTCAGGGATAGACTGAGGAATTCATAGCGCGTCTCATAATTTATAAGGGATCAAGGGGGTCTTACAAGGACGTTATACAGGGGCCGACACAATGGTTGTGCTTGTTTCTGACGATTGGCAAGAGAGCCAGCTCCTGCCACGTGCAGTCCTTGGCACGGGAAAGTACCTCTGGAAAGGCCACAAGAGCCTCCGTGAGTAAGGGCAGTATCTCAGGTTGGGCCTCGTTGTTGCCATAGATTGCCCTCAAGAACTCACAGCTTGTGGAGTTGACATGGTAATTGAAAGCATGCCAGGTGCTAAAAGCATGAAGGCAATGTTTACATTGAGGCATACCGTCCTTAGCATGTGCCATCTCCGCTCCTTTGATGGCTTCTTGGACCACCTGAGACCAGAATCCTTGTCGATTGTGGGGTATAAACGCAGAGACGCTCATCTTCGCTGGTGCATCGGCGTGTTTAATGGAGTGTATTTGCACTGCAGAGTGGCTCGTGGCAAGGCCTTAAAGCTTTCAGGCGCTGGCCCCTTGGCTGTCTTAGGTTTAGGGTTTAGGGTTTAGGGGTTTAGGGTTTAGGGGTTCAGGAGTTTACGGCCAGGGCTTTAAGGGGGTTCGTTTTTAGCATTGCAGGCTTATGAGGTTTAGGTGTTGTAGATGAGGTCCCCTTGCCATACGAAACCCCAGTTTTCTGAAATCCCGAGATAAAACCCTTTCCAGTCCGCATGTAGCCCTGAATTTTTACACCCTATGAAAGGCCTGCGAGTGGTAACAGCCCCATAAACCCTAAGCCCTAAGCCCCTATGAAGTTCCTGAAGGCAAGGATCCTTCCCTCCAAACTGTGGTGTCTAAATGGAACAGGCTTGTCGCAACTCCGACTTCTGAAGAATTCCGGGATGCTTGGCTGGGCCAGCCAGGCCCCACAAACAACCCTAAACTTCCCTAAACGCTAAACCCTAAACCCTAAACTTCCCTAAACCCTAAACTTCCCCAAACCTTAAACTTCCCCAAACCTTAAACTTACCAGCACCCAATGCAAGTGCCCTGCAATAGAAGCTTAATGGTCCTGCCTAGGTTGCTACATTGGCTCCCATAAAAGGGGAGGGTTTACACTTTAGGGGTTTAGGGGGTAGGGTTTAGGCTTTAGGGTTTTGGTGGGCAGGGTTTACGGCCAGTTTAGGGTCTAGGGTGGGTTTAGGGGGGGTAGTTGGGGGGGGGGGGTTGTTGGTAAACCCTGATGCTTATGTCGGTGGCCTGCCCTCTGGTTTCTGGCGGGTTTCAAGCGCTCAGCAGGGATGAACGTACAGGGATCAAAATGGGGATTGATGCAGGTATCATAGAACTTTGCACGCAATTCCGAGCATGATTGCAACGAGCGCTAATGACACCTCAACCCTAAACCCTAAACC